CTATCTTGTCTTGTATATATGAGTGCGCAAGATTCACTTGGTAAACTCCGATGATTAGATCATGCAGATAATTGACGTCCAAAATGGGAAAGGCAGGTAATTGATTATTTAGCCTTTCCCATTCACCACGTCTGAACAAAAAATTGTCAAGTTCGACAACTTGTAGCACGTTCACGTCATTTTTTTTTTGTAGCATTTTTATAGCTAGTTCGACTGTTGTGTTTCCCATAGTCTAAAATGGAATTCACTTACGAAGCAGGCATTTTAGTGATTCCTAAACGATTAAGGGAACTTATAGAAGAACGAAGAAAACAAATGAAAAGACCTGAATAAATACAGAGAAATTCAAGAAAACATCAGAAAGAAAATTCAAGAGGCAAAAGAGAGGTGGCTCAACGACAGATGTAAGGAAATAAAAGATCTGGATAAGAAGTATGATTTAATTTACCTAAAAAATCAAAGAAATGATAGGTTCTAGAAAAAGCACAAGAACGAATATCCTTAAAATTTATAAAGGAGATATTATTACTGATATGAAGGGAATATTGTGTCACTTGACCAATTATATCCAAAAGCTATTTAATGATGCAAGAGAAGAACTATCATTAGAAACCAGAGGAAACCGGACCACCACCAGTATTAGGGGAAGAATCTATGCCATCAAAAACACAAATGAGGGCAAAGTTACCGGACGAGATGATGTGCCCATCGAATTGTTAAAACTCATTGAAGTCATGGTTAAACTCTTTAATATATCAGACTGCCATAATCGCCAGACAATGGGTGCAATCGATCCTTGTGGCAATACCCAAAAAGTCAAGTGCAATATCCTGCTCAGATCACAGAACAATAGTTTTAATGAGTCACATACTTGAAACATTTTTGAAAATAATACACAGCAGAATTATTAAAACTTTTGAATGTGAAATTAGTGACACATAATTTGGCTTTAGAAATGGTATGGGCACAAGAGATACTTTTTTCGGCTTGAATGTACTGATACAGAGAAGCATGGATATGAATCAGAACATAAACTTATGTTTTGTAGATTTTGAAAAGGCTCAATTTGATAAAGTTCAATATAAAAAGTATTTGAAGAAAACCAAGTTCATGGTATTTACAAAAGCACAAAACATCAAAGTTAAGCTAGTACTAGATAATACAGAAATTGAACAAATATCTTCGTACAAATACCTTGGAGCATGGATCACAGAAGATACTGATCAGACAAAAGAAATAAGATGCCGCATTGAAATTGCGCGGTCAACTTTTAATAGAATGAAAAAACTTTTTTGTAATCGCGATATCAATATATCGCTCCGAATAAGAATGCTTCGATGTTATATTTTCTCTACCCTTTTTGTATGGAGTTGAAGCTTGGACACTTAAAAAATCCAACATTAAAAACCTAGAAGCATTCGAAATGTGGTGTTACCGACGCATTTTGAAAATATCATGGATGGATCGCATAACAAACGAACGAGTTCTCGAACAACTGGAAAAACAATGCGAAGTTTTAAATTCCATAAAAATCAGGAAATTGGAATACTTGGGGCACATCATGAGAGGTGAAAAGTACGAACTACTATGGAATATAATGCAGGGTAAAATCAAAGGTAGAAGAAGCGTAGGAAGACGTAAAATCTCGTGGCTACGCAATCTCCGTGAATGGTTTGGATGCAGTTCAATTGAACTATTCAGGCGAGTAACCAATAAAATTATAATTGCCAGAATGATTTCCAATCTCCGATAGGAGTGGAACTTGAAGAAGAAGAAGAATATAACAAGCTTGTAGATATATTAAAAAGCAAAAATATTGACAGTCGTGATATGAAAATTATATCTAATATATTGGAATCAATCTGCCAAGGTAAAAGTTGACAACCAGAACACCCGAGATATCAAAATACAGAGAGGAGTCCGCCAGAGGTGTGTGTTGCTACCACTACTCTTCAATGTCTACAGTGAAGCACTATTTTAAAGAAGCGCTTCAGATTCAATATATGGTATATCTATCAATGGAGAAGTTTTGACTAACTAGCGTTTTGCTGACAATACAGTAATAATGACGGATAGCAACAATGATTTATAGAATATAATGCAACGACATAATGAATGCTGTCATGAATACGGAATAAGGATTTTTTTTGTTTAATAAAACTCCAACAGGAATCTTATGACTATTGCTATCTGATCATTCACTATGATCAATAAGCAAGTTAGTTCTATATATAAATATTACAAGAAACTTATCTAAGGTTATATTCAGCAATATTACTTAGGCTCTAATACATTATAGTACTACTAGCTAACGTGTACACTTTAGCCGCACTTTACTCTGCTTTTTCACTTTTACTCACTTATAGCACTAAATCAAACGGCTTCGTTCTCTTTAGTCTTCTTATCTGGTTGGCGTTGTCTAGGAGTTTGATGGCCTCGACGTTCACGTGGTTGGAGAGCCTTTGTTCATGACTCTCGGCAAACTTACTTATTGTCTGGATAACTGTATCCATCTGGAGGTCTCGATGAAGATCACAGTTTCTAAAGTACCATGGAGCGTTAACGATGTTCCTTAATACTTTATTCTGATATCGTTGTATATGTTGGATGTTGCATTCTTTTGTACAGCCCCATAGCTGTATTCCGCATGTCCATATCGGTTTAAGGACTTGCTTATATAATAGCAATTTGTTGTAAATAGACAGAGTGGATTTTTTTCCCATCAACCAGTACATCTTTCTGAACTTAATTTCCAATTCCTCCTTTTTTTCTTAACATGTGCTTTCCAACGTAGCTTGAAATCTAACGTCATACCCAAATATTTTGCCGTATTTGCATAAGGTATTTGGTTTCTATTTATATGTACTGGGATATGTTGTTCTCTTTTGTTAGTAAAATTGACATGAACAGATTTTGTTTCATTCAATTTGATACGCCATCGGCTGGTCCAGATGTTAATTTGTTCAACAGAGTTCTGTAGCATGGTAGCTGCATCCTCGTGGTTTTGTCCGACTGCTAGAATGCATGTGTCGTCTGCAAATGTCGCAATTGTGTTATGTTCTAATGATGGAATATCGCTGGTATATAGCAGGTATAGCACTGGCCCCAGGACACTTCCTTGTGGAACTCCAGCTTTAACTTCTCTTAATTCTGAATATGCTTCCTCATATTTAACTCGAAAGTATCGGATATATATGATTCTAGTAGTTCAGAATATTGTTTTGGTAAGTAGCATCTCATTTAATGATATAGTCCGTCATGCCACACCTTGTCAAAAGCCTGCGCTAGATCGAGGAAAATTGCGGAACAAACTTTTCCTTCTTCTAGAGCTTTTTCTATGATATCTGTTATTCTATGCATATGAATAAGGATGAATTAAAAAAAAACTAAATACATGATCATGACTAAACCAGCAGATGCAAACATACCATTGATTGTTGAGGATACTGTAATTGAGAGTGTGGATACCTTCATGGATAACATCAATTGTATACCAAGCCAAAGAAATGAAGACACGTATTGAAATAGCACATGCATCATTCGTTAAACTTAAAAAGTTTCTTTGTTGTCGGGATATAAGATTAGGACTACGCCTAAGAATGCTTCGGTGTTACGTATTCACTACTCTTCTTTATGGCTTGGAAGAATGGACATTAAAACAAGTGCATCTGAATAAGTTAACGGCTTTTGAATTTTGGTGATACAGAAGAATCCTACGAATATCATGGACTCAAAGGATGTCAAACGCAGAAGTTAGTAGAAGAATAGGAAATGAAGCTGAAAGAATATTGACTATCAAAAGAAGAAAACTTGGGTACTTAGGCCATGTTATGAGAGGGCAAAAATTCTTATTATTGCAGCCTATTATGCAAGGAAACATTCGAGGAAAGCGAAATTTGGGAAGACGAAGACTATCGTGGCTTAAGAACTTGAGGGAATGGTTTGTTTGCAGTAGTGCAGAACTATTTAGAGTGGCAGTCAACAGGGTACGCATAGCCATGATTTCCAACCTTCGATAGAAAGCGGAATTTAAGAAGGACCGATTAAGGAGATGAATGCAATCTCTATTATAACCTATCTTTATTTAGTAATATTGTCACCATTTTGAAACCAGTCTTTTAATATGTTCACATCTTCTTCAAATTCAGCATTTAGAATTGCTTCATTTTTATGCGAATCTCAAAACTATGGTTCCGTTATTGTTAGTATATATCCATACAAAGCTACAAGGAACGTTGGTTTTCGCAAATGTCTGCCTTTATGTATTGAGTAAGACTGTCTTAGAATTTAAAAATTACTGCTTTTATGGACATATGCATAAGTAGATACATTGAAGCTAGTCCAAAGCTACAAAGCGCGTCCCCAGGTTGTGGATAGGGACGAGCCGACTTGGAAGGTATTATAAGCCGTCTGTTTATGATGATTTGTAGAAAAATGCTTATTTCCATGAAGAAGCAAGCCATTTTGACCTCCACATAACCTTCAGAATTAATCTAAAGGTCAGAGTAAATACCTCCACTGATTACATTCTCAAAGTCTCATTATATTCGTAAGCATGATCTTTGTCTTTTGCTATTCACTACGTAATATTATTTGCTAGAACAAGCTAACGCCACGAAATTCTTGCAGTAAATAACAGCTTTGATGACTTTCAGCGTCCTCAAGTTTTGGTCTTTGCATCTTGTGCCCACGAAGACTTTTGTTCGACACATTGAATACTACAGTATGGCCAAGTTTGGACAAATTTAACCGAGGGTATCTTTCCATTTATTTTTTGTCTGTCACTTTAATTACAATGACTGTTTGTTGTAGAATAGTAACCTCTGATTTTAGATTAGATGGATTTTTTTGTAACGGGCATGGTTTTCTTGTAAAAAGAAATTAACGCTTCTTATGTTCTAATATTCTAGCAATTCTACATGGTATTTAGAACTAATCCAGAATATATATTGCAAAATACAAAAAAAGAAGCATTAAGTAGTAATAAAAAAGTAATAATTAATAAATAATTTATTTTATAAGTAACTAAAATATAAAATTTCAACTTAAATAATATTATACAAAGTTTATATAAACTCAACATGTTCCTGATCACAAATAAAAAGTGAAATATTAAATAGAAAAAAAAAAACAAATTAAGCACATTCTTTATTTTTTACTCCGTTTGTGGCGTCGTTCTCTCCCTTATGTGAAATGCAGGATTTGGGAACTGCTCAGTGTCTGGAAAGTACATTCCTACTAAAACTATGGTAAAAATACCAGTTATTAAAATCAAGCCTACTGTAGCTGTTACTGTGTACAAATGAGCATAGACGTACCTAAAAAATGTTTTAGTTAATTGTGGATATACTGAAACGATACTTATTGAAAGTTTATTTAAAAAAAAAAAATGAAACAGTTGCAGATACCGGTTTCTAAATTTTCACATCAATTATTATACACGGTGATTCTTTGGGTGGTCTACTTACACTTTTTAGAAAAACGACATAATTATGTGTTATATGAAAATTTAGTGATATTTAGAAAATTTAAAATTAATAAAGCAATTCAATGAAAGTTCTTTGAATTCTTTGAATTCTTCACTTATTCGGTCTTCTAAAGAAGACCGAATAAGTGAAGGAACAAAACGGTTGATGGAAAAGAGACGCACATTTCTAAACGAAGGAAAGTGAAACACCAATGGTTTCAAAGAATTGAATAAACAAATAAAGAAGGAAGTAAAAAAAGATTTAAGAATCTATAATGAAAACAAGGTAGAAAAAATAATAGAAAAGAACCGAGGCCTGAAATGCTTAAGATCAAACTTAGGAAACCCTATAATAATCTCCTTGAATGATAAAAATGGAAAAGAAATAAGTTACCGTGATTTATATTCCTCACACAAGAACCCAGATAACATTGCGAAAGAAGACCTTAAGAGAAAGATAACGAATGTCAACTCAGAAATACTTCCTAACATATAAACCTTCGAAATAAAACAAGCTATGGCACAACTAAAAAACAATAAGGCTCCGGGTCCAGACGAGATACTTCTTGTAGAAATGTTGAAGAAGGGCAGTGAAATTATTCTCGAAGAATTAAAAATTTTTTCAACGAATGTCTTCACAGAGGAGAAGTTCCAGATGATTGGAATGAAAGTTTGACAATACTTCTCTTCAAAAAGGGAGACAGGGGGGATTTGAAGAACTATAGGCCAATCTCCCTGCTGTCCCAAATGTACAAACTGTTTATGAGAGTAATAACTAACAGGTTAACGTCGAAGCTCGACAGCTCTCAACCGGTAGAACAGGCAGGTTTCCGAAAGGGTTACATTACAGCGGATCATCTTTTTACAGTCAGTAAGTACTCTAATAGAAAAAGCCAATGAATATCAGTTGAACTTATACATTAGCTTCGTTGATTATGAAAAGGCATTCGACTCCATAGAACTTTGGGCAATAGAGGGAGCTATGAATAACTGCAGGGTAGACTCCCGATACAGATTGCTCATACATAATATTTACAAGAAAGCTACAATGAAAATACAAATAGATGCGAAAACCAAAGCTATACCGATCAAAAGACGAGTTCGCCAGGGAGATGTTATCTCACCAAAGCTATTCACACTTCGACTTGAAGACGTGTTCAAAGACATTAACTGGGCAGATAAAGGAATAAATGTTAATGGAAGAAAACTGAGTCATTTAAGATACGCTGATAACATTGTAATATTCTCTACAAGTTTCGAAAAACTACAGACCATGATGACGCAACTATTTCAATTTTCGGAAAAAGTAGGTCTAAGATGAACTTGGAAAAAACAAAAATAATAACAAATACACCGAACATTAGAAGAATAACGTTTAACGACATAAATTTAGAAACAGTAAGCGAATATATCTACCTGGGACAGCTAATGAAAGTTAACAAAAAAATCAAACTGCCGAAATTACCAGGAGAACAAGATTAGCGTGAGCAGGATTTGGAAAACTGAGTTGGATCTTGAAAAGCACTAAAATAGAACAGTATTTGAAAATCAGAATTTACGATCAGTGTATCCTCACTATACTCACGTATGGCTCACAGACGTGGACACTCACCAAGTCTAACATGGATAAAATAGTAAAAGCACAAAGAGCGATGGAAAGATCAATGCTCGGGGTGAGACTTATAGACGAAAAAACCAACAAATGGATGAGAAGCAAAACGAAAGTAAAAGACGCAGGAAAACATGATGCCAGATTAAAATGGCGCAAAATAGAAGACACTGGATTGATTTGGGGGACGCCTATGTCCAAAGTTGGATTACTTAAGGCTGAAGAAGAAGAAGTTGTTCTAACAAAATAAATTAGAAATCAACATGAAAATATTTGTCGTTGTATAACTGATCAATTTAAAACTAGACAGTGTTGAGGAATACCGTTGGCTATTAAAAGGATATTAAATAAAATTTAAGATCAAATATTGTGATAAAAAAAGGGCAATAGAGGTAGAAATGACAAAGCATGCGGGGTTCGTAACTCGGACTAATCCAATTCAATATATTCATTAATTCCCAAGAATTTAACATTGATTCGTTAATTAATCATTAGCAAAAATGGTCTGAGTGTATGTAGGCAAAGTTATTGTGACATTCCGTGTTAAGGCACCACCTCAACATCATTAGAGTAACTGATAAAATAGTAGGTAAAGAAATAATAAATAAGACATTCATGATTTGATAAAATAGTAGTTAATAGCACGTGACGGATCTCTTTGAAGAAAGAGACGGCGAAGCATATGATCTGATAGTGCGATGACAACTTGCGAGAATTCTAAAGTTTTTTAATAAATTATTCCTCTCTCAATATTGCACTGCGCTAAACAAAGTTATATACTAAGATAACTATAGCAAACAGTGGAAATAACACATGCAAAATAACTAGCAAACTTCTAATATTATCTTTCAAACACAGCCGAAAATTAAAAAATAGGTCAAAAATCAGAAGAGATATTTGATGTTATATATAGTTGTAGTACAAAAGCCACATAAGTATGCACATAAGTTGTCAATGACAAATTTTCTATTCTGTTGACACCACAGTTTCTCCAATCGTCTTGTGAAATCAAGACAACCAGTCACCTATCTCCCTTCGTCCTTTACTAAACGCATACCAAACAAGCATTATATAATGTTTTGTAAGGAAAACAGATTTATAATATTGTTCAATCTGGTTTTCTTATTCATTTGTAAAGAAGTAGCTGGTTGGTTACGATTTTAACCGTATCTCATTATTCTCGGAATAGACACGGATTCTTCTTCTTGTAGTTCCTTCTCCTATAGGAGGTTATCTATCATCACAGCTATCCGTACCTTATTGGCGGCTGCTCGAAAAAGATCTATTGAGCTGCAACTATACGACTCTCTTAGGTTTCTCAGCCAGGAAATTCTTCGTCTTCCTATGGATCTTTTACCCTTGATTTTACCTTGCATTATGAGCCTTAATATCTCATATTTCGCACCTCTGGTAATGTGGCCTAAGTATTCCAGCTTTCTTGTTTTGATGTGCTTTATGACCTCGCAATCCTTTTGTAGCCTTCTTAACACTTCTGCATTTGTAACTCGTTGGATACATGATATTTTCAAAATCCTTCTATAGCACCACATCTCAAACGATTCCAACTTCTTTATATTATCCACTTTTAGTGTCCAGCTTTCCATTCCATACAACAAAATCGAGAACACGTAGCATCTTAAGGCTCTTATCCTCAAATCCAGAGGAAGGTCTCGATTGACAAACATTGTTTTCATTTTTATAAATGCTTGTCTTGCAATTTCAATGCGTGTCCTTATTTCTCTATCTTGGTCATTGTTTTCATTTACCCAGGTTTCCAGATATTTGTAATTATTCACTCTTTCTACTTGCTTTCCCTCGATATCTAGCCTTTCTACTGTATGTTGCTTGGAAATAATCATGAACTTGGTTTTCTTAACGTTCATTTGTAGTCCATATTTGATACTGACTTGATGTAATCTATTTACTAAGCGTTGCAATGCTTCTAGACCGTCTGCAAGAACAGCCGTGTCGTCTGCGAATCTTATGTTGTTTAGGATTTTTCCGTTTATTGATATACCCTATTGTTCCTTTGATATTGCTTAATTAAAAATAGCTTCGCTGTACAGACTGAATAATAATGGGGACAGCACGAAACCCTGTCTAACGCCTCTTTTGATTTCTATTGTTTCTGTATCGACATATTCGATTCTAACCTTTGCTTTTTGATTCCAGTACAGATTGACAATAACCCGTATATCTCGACTATCTACATTCTTTTCTTTTAACAGTTTTATGAGTTTCTGATGTCGTACTCTATCAAAAGCCTTTTGATAATCTATAAAGCAGAGATCCTGGTTCATATCTAGTCGTCTTTGCGCGAGAACGTTAACAGCGAACAGAGCCTCTCTCGTTCCTAGTCCTCCTCTGAATCTAAACTGGGTGTCATCTATATCTTCTTCTATTTTTTTGTATAGTTTTCGATGTATTATTTTGAGAAATATCTTAAGTGTGTGGCTTATTAAGGAAATTGTTCTGTACTGGGAGCATTCTGTCGCATGTACTGACTTTGGTAGTGTTACAAACGTGGACAGCAACCAATCTTGGGGTATTACTCCTGTTGTATATACTTTGTTGAACAGATCTAAAAGTATATGCAGTGTTTCTTCTTCAATGCATTTAATTAGCTCAGTGGGTATCTGATCTGGGTCTACTGATTTTGCGGTCTTTGCATTTCTCAATCAGGTAATTGCCTGTTCTAATTCGCACATTATTATTTTCGGTCCTGTTTGTTCCTGTGGTTCTTCTTGTATCATTCTATCATCGTCGAATAGTTTCATTATGTATTCTTGCCAAAATCTTAGTTTATCTTTGATGTCTGTAATGAGTTTACCATTATCATCTTTGAGTATCCCATAGTGTGCTCGCTTTTTGGTATTTGTTAGTTCTTTTATTTTTTTATGCATATTAAAGCTGTCGTATTTTCTGTCATACTCTCCTATTTCTATGCATTGATCTCTTAACCACTTTTCCTTGGCCTTCTTTATCTCTATTTTAATTATACTTTGTAGTTCTTGATATTTTAACTCATTTCTCCCTTTGGCTTTTCTCCTCTCTTCCATTAATGCTAGAATTTCTGAAGTCATCCACTTCTGTTTTTTATTTGTCTTTTCAGGCTTTAAATTTTCTTCTGCAGCCTTTAGTAATGCCTCCTTAATATTGCTCCACTTTTCATTGACATCTTCTGATGTTAAGATTCCTTCTCCCAGTTCCGTTAGATTTGAGTTGACTTGTTGGATCACTTT